CGATTCCTCTTTTCGATAATACGAATCTACGCGCTATTGTAACCTAACGGCTACGCCGTCCTCTTACATCTGCTACGGCGTATCACTCGTGCTACGGTGCACCGTAGCCCTGTACTTTACTGCTGTTCATACTGTTGTTTCATCGTTTCGTACTCGTTACAGTTACAACCATTTTTAGATCGCGTTTACCCTAAACGCAACTATGTAGTTTTTACTACATGCCATGCCATGTTACGAGTCATTTTATTCTTACCGAATTGGGGTTAAGTAACACCTAATTTCATCTATAGGTATAGTTGAATAGATGCGAGACTTCTCTAACTTCTATATCGGCAAGAAAAAGTCAAATTACATTTCTGAAATAGTTGTTGTTTCGTTTAATAGAGATAAAAGTAAAACGTAGGTATTTTTTGTTCAATACTTAACTCATTAAAAGTGGTTTCTAGTAGTAAGACCAACAACAAATATGTATCCAGTTGAGGACTGCAAACATTAATCTATGAAATAGACAATCGTATAGCAATCTATGACTTTCTTTCAGAAACAGGTTTCGGATATTTTTACAATTTGAAGAAAATTAACTTTTATTTATATATCACTTTTTATTGTCACTCGAAGGTTAAATCAGAACAACTCAACTAAATCGGTAGTTTATTTTGTAGAAATGGCAACATAGCTTTGCTCTAAAACAATTACTCCTTAGTCCTCTGGGGAATTATTACCATAACAGCTATCTAAGGTCGTGTAGCAATCAATTCAAAAGCTATTATTATACCATTAATAAGCGTCGTCTGGCTGTAGTATTGCAGCTGAATGTTGCAGTCAACAAGTCGGCTAAACGACGTCCAGTCAAAGGGCACTAGGGTACTAGCTGTGAGATTGATTTTAGCCATTAGGCTGCGACATCTACACGGTTACTCTGAATCGTTACGCCCGCCGTGGCACAATTTACTATATAAAATGACAAATGGGCCGTCGCTTTCTATACATTGAACCACTGGTTTCAATTTTACATTCAATTGTCAGTGTCTGAGTATGTGTATGTGTAAAATAACTAAAATAATAATAATAGGAGGCTTCGGCTGGAGCAGATGATCTGAGTAGAAAGCGGTGGTAGTTTCTTAACCCTTCAGCCACTCACATTCTCGTTGCCCCTCTGTTGCTATATCTAGCAACCATTCCCGGGGCCCGGTCGGTGAGTTGGCGAGTCTCCGCCTGCCATTTTTACGTGTAAAAATTACATTGTTTCGGCAGGTGTCATAGTCATCCATAGTTCCCAATTTACCAGTCCACAGCAACCCATCCATAGCCCTACCTTTTTTCCATTATTCACAATAGTCCTACACTAACCGGGGACTGTCCTTGGGTGCATTTCCATAGTGCATACAGGGATAGTCGCCGGTTTGTGTGTCCATTAAAAAGCTTAACTTAATTGTTTTTTGCCACTAAAAAGCTTAACTTTCGATGGTGCATTTCTTCATTTATTGTTGATATACCTCACAATTTACTTGATTTTATATATTCAAATGCTATTCTGTAATAATGTTTTGTGATGGCACCTATCAGTTGTTATTATCAGAACGTACGGGGATTGCGAACAAAAACATCTGTTTTCTTCAGAAATGTGTGCATACCTGGTTACGATGTTATCTGCTTGACGGAGACTTGGCTTGTTGATGGCATTAGTGACAGTGAGTTGTTTGACGATAGGTACGTAGTGTGGAGAGGTGACAGAGACTATGTGAGTACTAATCAAACGATGGGTGGAGGTGTTTTGATAGCTATCCGTCGTGCACTGGTGGCAACACTCAGAAGTGAATGGTGTTCGTCCGCGGAGGACATATGGGTGACCATTACATTACAACTCAAGAAACCTAAGATATCATATAAAATACATATAGGTGTTGTGTATATCTGCTCCCAAAATTTAGGCAATTCTTTAACAGAACAATAAATGAACATTGGCCTCGAGAACCCCGCGGATAAATTTCTAGTGTTAGGAGATTTTAACCAACCATACATAGACTGGTTACAATATTCAAGGCATAAGCCAATTAAATCTTATAGATACTATTACAGTTTGCAATTTGTCACAATATTCATCTTCGTAATAATAACGGCAGAATATTGGACTGGGTGCTGTCTAACAGCGCAGTCAGAGTCGATCACTGTTGCGATCCACTAGTTCCTGAGGACCCGCACCACAAAGCCATCTTATTATCTACGAATTTCATGCAACCACATAAACTACCCACAAAGCCTATAGTAAGCTACAACTACCGACAGGCTAACTACACTGCTATTGCTGAGGAGTTGGATGGCTGTGACTGGCATAAAGAGTTACATGGCGGCTCTCTTGATGAAGCTGTACTATTTTTCTACGACATACTAAATAAAGTTAGAGATATCCACGTCCCGCACCGACTCACTGTGACACCTGTAAAATATCCTCTCTGGTATAAAAAACCTTTAATCAAAATTCTTCGAGAAAAAGCTAAATCACACCGGAAATTCAAAAAATATGGTAATTTATCTGATCAATTATCTTTCACTACTTTACGTCAGCGTGCCAAAGACTTAGAGAGGGACATGTTTAACAGCTACATTGCGGGTGTGGAATCAGGAATTACAAAGAATCCGCGGGCATTTTGGCGATATGTCAAGTCTAAAAACAATCGCATTCTTACCCCTCAATATTTAAATACAAGGAGCAATCGTTTGGGACCGGGGAGGACATATGCAACATATTTTCTGATTACTTTTACTCTAACTTTGTACCCCCCGATCTCCAAGATGCGCATACTAAGCTCGACATGCAGGATTTTGAAACATCTGTAAATATTTATGACAACAGATCGGATATTGCCTCGATTGAAATTCAGAGTTCTGAAGTGTTTAAGTTATTAAAACAGGTCGACCTTGACAAATCCGCAGGACCTGACAATTTCCCACCAATCTTCATACTTAATTGTGCGAAATCTTTAACCCTCCCTATTTCTATCTTGTTCAGACGGTCTTTAACAGAAGGAACTATGCCTGCGATTTGGAAGTCGGCGTATGTAACTCCAATACATAAAAAAGGTCCGAGGGACGAGGTGGAGAACTATAGGCCAATCTCAAAGTTGTGTGTGTTCGCTAAAATACTTGAAAAAATTGTATACAAGCAGGTATATTCAGCTGTTAAACTCAATTTTAGCGAGCACCAGCATGGTTTTCTAAATGGTCGCTCCACTACATCAAATCTTATCGTCTGTAGTGACTTCTTGTCAGAGTACATGTCACATCGTTTACAGGTGGATGTCGTATACACTGACTATCGCAAGTGTTTCGATCGGATAGATCATCTCATACTAAAAAATAAAATGTTGAGAATGGGCATACGTGGTGACTTGTTTAGATGGTTCTCATCATACATTGAAAATAGGAGTCAGATTGTTGTTCTCAATGGTTACTACTTACAGAAAGTATCAGAGTCATTTAATTCGTAATTTCATAGCGGTGCTGATGGTGGTGAAAGTTCAGATGGAGGCAGTGATGACGACGTGTTCACACATGAACATGCCATGTCAGCGAGATAACCCTACGTGATAAAGTACTGAAAAAACATATTAATTCCGGAATATACAACTAAGAAAAACATCACGTACTCACTCGTAAGGATATAGCGCTGTGATGGTACATTACACGCATAGCACACAATCATAGTGTGGTATGTGTGTACATAGGATAAGTTTAGTATATAAGATCATGTAGAATAAGAAATAAAACAGTCACTAGTTGATTCCGACTTTGACTCACTACCCTTCCTCCACCACTCGGTGGAGGAAGCTCCTCCCTTCACTGTGGCCAAGACACCTTTAGCCATCGACCGATCTGTCGTGTGAGTCTGCTCGACAGACAGTGAGCAAACCCTCACCACCATACCCCATTCCTACCCACATTCCGTCTGCCATCATAGGTCTCAGGTGGCAGATATCCAGCACCTATCTATATAAGTATATATAAATACGTAGAGGTATAGTAGGGCTAGAATCTCGGGACTGTAGGGCTAGGCCAGTAGGCGCGTACGAAGCGTAGGTCTGTATCACAGCATACCACAGTGTACCATGATAGTACGTGCCTTAGGTTAAGGGCCTAGTAGTAGGTGCATAGAAGTGCTGGTCTGTATCCCAGTATACCGCAGAGCACCAAGCCTATACGCATTATACGCTAGGCAATTATAGGATAGGATTTAGACTACATAGTTAATTAGGCTTAGGGGGTTAATTAGGATTATAGGATAGGTTATTATAAGTGTTAGACCATCTAGGATAGTGTAGGATAACGTTAGCTTGTAGCCAATAGGATTAGGTAGTCCTGTACAGTAGGATTGTTGCGTAAGGCTACTATCCCGCTGTACACGACGGTTATGCCTCTGATGGCACTACTGGTTGTAACTCGGTGTTACTCGATGACAGCTGTTCTGATATTAGAAAAATATAAGACTAGTTAGTCGTATGTTACAAATGTAACTAAAATATACAAAGTAAGCTACGAACAAGATGGTCACAAGGCCATCATCATAATCAGTTGCTCGCAGAAATTTTCTAAGTCTTCTAGTCGTAATTACGAAGCGGTGCTAATGGTGGAGAATATACAGATAGAGGTCGTGATGTTGATTGCGGTGGGAAGCGCTAGTACGGTGGCGGAGTCAGTGGTGTCAACGGTGGGTTTGGTGTCCGCTCCGGCTGTGCAACTTCAGAGATACGACACTATAGTTAGTTGTGTGTTACAAATGCAACCTGAATAGACATAGCTACTCCAATACAAATCTAATACTAACAGAAAAGATCTTGATAATCTATGTCTCGCTCGAACGATAACTCTAGCTGTAGCGACGCTGTGATGGTGATGGTGATGCTGATGGTGCTGTGCGTTTCGTCATTACAGCTGCAGTTCTGCCACTACAAAAATATAAGTTAGTTGTATGTTATAAATGTTATTAAAATAGACAAAGTAAGCTACGCATAAGACGGCCACAAAGCCATCATTATAATCGGTTGCTCAAATTCCTGGCTGCCGTTGTGGTAGTGACGGTGCTGGTGCTGGATTAAAGTATTGTTGTGACTGGAAGCGCTGGTACGGTGGCGTTGCCAGTCAAGTGGTGTCATCGGTGGGTTACGTGTCGGCTCTGGCCGCGCATCTACGAAGATACAAAACTAGTTAGTTGTGTGTTACAAATGCAACCAAAATAGACATAACTACTCCACTTATACAAATCTAATACTTACAGAACAGATCTTTATGATCTATGTCTCGCACGAACGGTAACTATAGCTGTAGCGATGCTGATGCTGATGGTGATGGTGATGGTGATGGTGCTGGGCGTTTCGTCACGACAGCTGTTCTGCCACTACAAAAATATAAGACTAGCTACTTGTATGTTAAAAAATGTAACCAAAATAGACAAAGTAAGCTACGCATAAGATGGCCACAAAGCCATTATTGTAATCAGTTGCTCAAATATAAATGTAATACTCACAGAAATTATCTAAGTCTTCCCAGTCGTAATTTCGTAGCAGTGGCGTCGCCAGTGGTGTCATCGGTGGGTTAGGTGTCGCCTCTGGCCGTGCATCTACAAAGATACAACACTAGTTAGTTGTGTGTTACAAATGCAACCAAAATAGACATAGCTACTCCAATACATATATACTTATAGAACGGATCTTGATGATCTATTTCTCGCTCGAACGGCAACTTTAGCTGTAGCGACGCTGATGGTGATGGTGATGATGCTGAGCGTTTTGTCACGACAGCTGTTCTGCCACTACAAAAATATAAGACTAGTTAGTTGCATGTTATAAATGTAACCAAAATAGACAACGGAAGCTACGCATAAGATGGCCACAAAGCCATTATTGTAATCAGTTGCTCACATATAAATGTAATACTCACAGAAATTATCTAAGTCTTCCCAGTCGTAATTTCGTAGCAGTGGCGTCTCCAGTGGTGTCATCGGTGGGTAAGGTGTCGCCTCTGGCCGTGCATCTACAAAGGTACAACACTAGTTAGTTGTGTGTTACAAATGCAACCAAAATAGACATAGCTACTCCAATATATCTAATACTTATAAAACGGATCTTGATGATCTATTTCTCGCTTGAACGGCAACTCTAGCTGTAGCGACGCCGATGGTGATGGTGACGATGCTGGGCGTTTTGTCACGACAGCTGTTCTGCCACTACAAAAATATAAGACTAGTTAGTTGCATGTTATAAATGTAACCAAAATAGACAAGGGAAGCTACGCATAAGATGGCCACAAAGCCATTATTATAATCAGTTGCTCACATATAAATGTAATACTCACAGAAAGCGTCTACGTCTTCCCACTCGTAATTTAGTGGCCGTGGCGTCTCCAGTAGCGTCATCGGTGGGTTAGGTGGTAATGCCACTGATGGCACTACCGGTGGTGACTCGGCGTTAAATGAGGACAGCTGTTCGGCCACTACAAAAATATAATAGTGATTAGTTGTATGTTACAAATGTAACCAAAATAGACAAAGTAATCTACGCATAAGATGGCCACAAAGCCATTATAAAAATCAGTTGCTCAAATATAAATGTAATACTCACAGAAAGCATCGACGTCCTCCCACTCGTAATTTCGTGGCCGTTGTGTCGCCAGTGGTGTCATCGGTGGGTTAGGTGGTAATGCCACTGATGGCACTACCGGTGGTGACTCGGCGTTAAACGAGGACAGCTGTTCGGCCACTACAAAAATATAATAGTGGTTAGTTGTATGTTACAAATGTAACCAAAATAGACAAAGTAATCTACGCATAAGATGGCCACAAAGCCATTATAAAAATCAGTTGCTCAAATATAAATGTAATACTCACAGAAAGCGTCTACGTCTTCCCACTCGTAATTTCGTGGTCCGGGTACGGCTTCGGCAAAGTCAGCAGGCGATATCATCCAACCCACTGCTGGCATTTGCATCCCACCGAGCCGCATACGTTTGTCATCACTAAACGTATCACGATGTGATGGTTTCCGTTTTCGAGTCTGTAATTTAAAAGAAATTAATGTATTAATAATCTTCCAGTAAGTGTACTATCAAGTGTGCGCTAATTGAATAAGTGAGCGTATCTTACGTTGGGCTCTTCCGGCTGCACCTCCTCTTCATCATCGCTGACGATGTAATCCGGAGGCAACTGCTCGATACATTTGGCAACTGTAACAAGACACACATTCATGTTAAGGAATTTGTTTACTCGAACAAACACAATAAATTGAATGGTTATGGTAATAACGTTTGGTTTTACACTTACTTTGTGCCTCCAGATCTACATTAGCCAGCCTAATGTCTTCTGCAGGAATCTTCTGCTGGAGTTTTGTGATGACGAGTCTCATCAAGTCGTCCGTCGATATCTACAAAAAGAAATCAAAATGAGACATAACGCATCGTAAAATAACAATAAAGTCGGCGGCGCACCTTAAACTCGAGTTTTGTAAACTTACATTAGGATCACAGCCCGCGGCCTCTGCTAGCTCCGAGTGAGCTTCGGCCAAGTCCTCTCGCCTTTCACGCTCATACTGAGCGTTCCTAGCGCGCCTTTCTTCCTGTAGGTGAAGTTCATTATTAATATATTGTTCAGTCCCAAAGATAACTTAAAATGTATATTACTTGTGACATTTGTTTCATACGAACCAAGGACAGAGGGGTCCGGTTTGCACCGGCAGGCCTTCCACGCCTCGGTCTGGATGCTTTAGAGCCTGTAGATGTTGAAGGCTCTCGTTTCTGGCTCTGGTCCTGAGAAAATAATAAAAATCGGTTTAGAGACAGCACTAAATTGACAAAAAAAAAACATCAACATTACAAATAAATGAGACTTACCTCCTTCAAATTATTCGAAGCCTTTCCTGGTTCCATCGCGATTGTAATCTGAAGCAGAACGCCTTGCAGTTGCAGTGGTGTGCACGTCTCGGTCTCTAACTGAGTAGTAGGTACTGAGTACTGAATGCAAAATTCGTGCCGTCTGCGCGTACGCAGGGTTGCGGATGGGGCTAGGGGTGGGGGTAGTAAACCGTTAGAACACTGTGATTGGTGGAAATGGTCCTATTGTTTGCGGTCAAGTTGGTGATAACGAAATTACAGGAATCGTGGTATTTGCACATAGAGCAACCGCCGACTAATTTATAAAGTAAAAGTAATTATTTTATTGTTTACATAATATATTGGTCTATTTTATTTTTTACAATCAAACTCCAGGAGATCGCTACTCCTTCATTCAAACAGTAATTTACGTAAAAATACGAAGTAAAAAGAGTGATAAAGCTGATTTTTTATTTACACTTTATGTAGGTATTGTATCGTACTCAACATGTAATGAAATTCGCAGCCAACCAACCTGCATGAATAGACGGCGTAGCCTGTTTAATAATATAATTATGATTATATCGCAGTATAATTCTGGTGGCGAGTCCATTTCTGTGTGGGTCGCAGTTCCGACCTAACCGGGCGTACATTAGTAGGCCATTCGTCAAGGGGCAGTCTAAGCTAGTCGGCTGTGAGATAGTATATGGATATAGTTAGGTTAGATTTAGAATTCGTTATTGCTGGTGGTAGTACATATGTACCGATATCGTTAGAAATTCATGTAAAACTAAAAAGAGTTGCCGGTATCTACGCGCCGGCCAGTTAGGCTCCGTACAACGTTCCTAGATACCACCCAACACGTCCAGTACTGCAGTGAGGTAGTGGACTTTGAGAAAACCCCAGTCTGTGCTGCGTTCGGGAACAATTATTATCATTTCATTACTAAGAATGAATAGCTGACAAATAACATACACATTACGGCAAGTAAGGGAAGATATTACGTATATGAAATGAAATGAAGGAACCGAAGGATATAGGTCTGGTATGGGTTGGTCGAGTGAGAGATAAGACAATACAACGGTGACTACCACTAGTTCTATGAACTGTTTCGAGATATGGGGTTGTGATTAAGATTGCTATGCTTTGTTTCGATTTCTAACGTGACCATTTATATTTTGACTCGAAACGGGACATTCGTTTATTTAGACTTAGTGAGGCATCTAGTAGATAGATCCTATTATGGAACATGTAAACACGAACTTTGTGCCGACAACAAGAAGGTTAACATTACTTTACAGCACAAAAATTCAAGTAAATACCTACTTAAAGATTTTTCGACTTCAAAAATTAGCAAGGTATGTATGACGCCGTATCGCTCTTCGTTCGAACGGTCGTGATATATGTTGCACCCAGAGTCATTGCTAAGTAATTATTAAAATGGACGGTCCCGTTCAAAACGGAACGTCTGGCAACGTTACACATACACACAAAATCCAAGTCATAGTCCAGTTATTAATTAATTACATTAACTTATGTGTTATCCACGAAAAAGTACACTCTGTCCCAGTCTTTTGACTCTTGTTGCTACAATTCTCTATTTTTCGTCTGTGTTTTTACTTACCTTATCCCGAATAGTGTAGTACAGTATTATGGAATCATGAATTCTAACCCAATGGCTTTAGCTCTTTGGAAATAATGTAATTTTTGACGGACCACGAATTTGCAAATTTCACCGAAGTTGGTCCATCTATTTAGGATTTTAAAATGGTTTACCACTTTTCACGTTATTTCTTAACGTCGACACAAAAATATATTTTTCAGCGAAAATCTCCGTTTCGAACAATTTATTTGGTCTTACTAAAATTTATTCTATTGTAACATGAGCAGCATTCGTCGGAAATATTGTCGGACAGAGACCTTCAAAAAAGAGTGTTCAACAGCTTCTGATATGTCAGAACCAGATTTTGTAGACGAACTTCCAATATCAAAATTGTTTGCCACTAACTGCTTACGTGACCTGTCTTACGTCCGCACGACTGTTACAAAATATGCGGGCGTAATTAAGATTAGTTACTATGCTTTGTTTCCACTTTGTTATCCAAGCGAACGCGAACGCCTTGAAACTGCTTTGACAAAAGAATGTTATACCTACCTGAGCGAGCCGTGGAAACTTAGCTCTGTCGAAATGTTGGAATGTTGCTATCCAATGATTATGAAAATCACTTAGAAATGCGAAGAATGTTTCCAATTGACTATATCGAGACATCGTGATGCTTGGTAGTAGTTTACCATCAGTATCCGTGGATCTGTTCACCATTTTACCAATAAACAGTATTTTAAATTTTATTTGCAATAATAGTTCATGTATTAATAAAATTGTAGTCTATAGAAAGAATATTTTCGGTGGTTCGCCATAGTTTTCGTGCTCGCCGTTATTCTATTGTACTCGCCTGGTGGTAAGCGATGATGCGGGCTAAGATGGAGCACGTCTGCCCATAAGCAAACTATTCGCTCGGGTCTTGGAGACACCCACGTTTCAGGCGATTCCTCTTTTCGATAATACGAATCTACGCGCTATTGTAACCTAACGGCTACGCCGTCCTCTTACATCTGCTACGGCGTATCACTCGTGCTACGGTGCACCGTAGCCCTGTACTTTACTGCTGTTCATACTGTTGTTTCATCGTTTCGTACTCGTTACAGTTACAACCATTTTTAGATCGCGTTTACCCTAAACGCAACTATGTAGTTTTTACTACATGCCATGCCATGTTACGAGTCATTTTATTCTTACCGAATTGGGGTTAAGTAACACCTAATTTCATCTATAGGTATAGTTGAATAGATGAGACTTCTCTAACTTCTATATCGGCAAGAAAAAGTCAAATTACATTTCTGAAATAGTTGTTGTTTCGTTTAATAGAGATAAAAGTAAAACGTAGGTATTTTTTGTTCAATACTTAACTCATTAAAAGTGGTTTCTAGTAGTAAGACCAACAACAAATATGTATCCAGTTGAGGACTGCAAACATTAATCTATGAAATAGACAATCGTATAGCAATCTATGACTTTCTTTCAGAAACAGGTTTCGGATATTTTTACAATTTGAAGAAAATTAACTTTTATTTATATATCACTTTTTATTGTCACTCGAAGGTTAAATCAGAACAACTCAACTAAATCGGTAGTTTATTTTGTAGAAATGGCAACATAGCTTTGCTCTAAAACAATTACTCCTTAGTCCTCTGGGGAATTATTACCATAACAGCTATCTAAGGTCGTGTAGCAATCAATTCAAAAGCTATTATTATACCATTAATAAGCGTCGTCTGGCTGTAGTATTGCAGCTGAATGTTGCAGTCAACAAGTCGGCTAAACGACGTCCAGTCAAAGGGCACTAGGGTACTAGCTGTGAGATTGATTTTAGCCATTAGGCTGCGACATCTACACGGTTACTCTGAATCGTTACGCCCGCCGTGGCACAATTTACTATATAAAATGACAAATGGGCCGTCGCTTTCTATACATTGAACCACTGGTTTCAATTTTACATTCAATTGTCAGTGTCTGAGTATGTGTATGTGTAAAATAACTAAAATAATAATAATAGGAGGCTTCGGCTGGAGCAGATGATCTGAGTAGAAAGCGGTGGTAGTTTCTTAACCCTTCAGCCACTCACATTCTCGTTGCCCCTCTGTTGCTATATCTAGCAACCATTCCCGGGGCCCGGTCGGTGAGTTGGCGAGTCTCCGCCTGCCATTTTTACGTGTAAAAATTACATTGTTTCGGCAGGTGTCATAGTCATCCATAGTTCCCAATTTACCAGTCCACAGCAACCCATCCATAGCCCTACCTTTTTTCCATTATTCACAATAGTCCTACACTAACCGGGGACTGTCCTTGGGTGCATTTCCATAGTGCATACAGGGATAGTCGCCGGTTTGTGTGTCCATTAAAAACTTAACTTAATTGTTTTTTGCCACTAAAAAGCTTAACTTTCGATGGTGCATTTCTTCATTTATTGTTGATATACCTCACAATTTACTTGATTTTATATATTCAAATGCTATTCTGTAATAATGTTTTGTGATGGCACCTATCAGTTGTTATTATCAGAACGTACGGGATTGCGAACAAAAACATCTGTTTTCTTCAGAAATGTGTGCATACCTGGTTACGATGTTATCTGCTTGACGGAGACTTGGCTTGTTGATGGCATTAGTGACAGTGAGTTGTTTGACGATAGGTACGTAGTGTGGAGAGGTGACAGAGACTATGTGAGTACTAATCAAACGATGGGTGGAGGTGTTTTGATAGCTATCCGTCGTGCACTGGTGGCAACACTCAGAAGTGAATGGTGTTCGTCCGCGGAGGACATATGGGTGACCATTACATTACAACTCAAGAAACCTAAGATATCATATAAAATACATATAGGTGTTGTGTATATCTGCTCCCAAAATTTAGGCAATTCTTTAACAGAACAATAAATGAACATTGGCCTCGAGAACCCCGCGGATAAATTTCTAGTGTTAGGAGATTTTAACCAACCATACATAGACTGGTTACAATATTCAAGGCATAAGCCAATTAAATCTTATAGATACTATTACAGTTTGCAATTTGTCACAATATATTCATCTTCGTAATAATAACGGCAGAATATTGGACTGGGTGCTGTCTAACAGCGCAGTCAGAGTCGATCACTGTTGCGATCCACTAGTTCCTGAGGACCCGCACCACAAAGCCATCTTATTATCTACGAATTTCATGCAACCACATAAACTACCCACAAAGCCTATAGTAAGCTACAACTACCGACAGGCTAACTACACTGCTATTGCTGAGGAGTTGGATGGCTGTGACTGGCATAAAGAGTTACATGGCGGCTCTCTTGATGAAGCTGTACTATTTTTCTACGACATACTAAATAAAGTTAGAGATATCCACGTCCCGCACCGACTCACTGTGACACCTGTAAAATATCCTCTCTGGTATAAAAAACCTTTAATCAAAATTCTTCGAGAAAAAGCTAAATCACACCGGAAATTCA